GGACTGGGAAGAAAGTTGTGATGATCTGCTTCTGAAACTGTTAGCCCTGACCACCTTGTGGACCCCAGCAGTTCCGATCTGCACCCTCTCGTGAGGATGGCACGGGACTGGGCAGCATCGCGTCCCGTTGTGCATGGTCACAGGAGTCGATGGCTGACTGGTGGGGGCCCACAAGATTCTCATGGTTAACATAGTGACTTAGTCAGATATGCCTACATCAGAGCTGATGAGAGCTGCCCTTTTCTTTGGAACATGTTTTATTCTTCTGCTCATGTGTCTTCAGAGTAGCTTCTGTCCTACTGTTATGACTGAAGGAGGGCAGGGTGAGGACACGCCTTTGTTGATGAAGTCTGGAACTCACCTCTCCACTATCCATTAGAGTTTTGTCAGGTATATGATGGGGAAGACTTGTTTGTGATGATGAAGTGATACATCTTCTCTTAGGTCTGCTGTTGATGGGTGCCGTTGAGACAATTCCGACTCATAGTGACCCCACGTGACAAGAGTAGAGCTGCCCCATAGGGTGTCCAAGGCTGTCATCTTTACAGGTGCAGATTGCCAGTTGTGTCTTCTGAGCCACTGGGTGGGTTTGAACCGTAAACTTTTTGATTAGCAACCAAATGCTTAACCATTATGCTATCAGAGCTGCTTAGTCTGCTATTAGGACTGGTCCTTTGTGATCCCCTGAGATGGGACCATAACTGGAGAGTAATAAGAGGTAGTTAAGTCTCATTCACTTTTGAGTGAGTCATCATACATATTTCTTAAGAGCCCAGGAAGGGGTCACAGCTATGATAAGGATTTTGTTGGTAGGATTATTTGTGTAGCAATGTAATTCTACTCTGATAACTGGTAAAAGAATACAAAAAGCCTTTTTATCTTTCTCTTAAGTCTTTAATCAAAAAAGTGGGCCCAGAGTGTATAGGGGGTGCATATGGTTGATTAGGATCAGGGAAATGTGAAAATCCTGATGAGGGCGTAGCATCTCTCTGTTTTCTAGTGGTGACCTTGAAAGGAGCCCTTACGTCACAGGGTTGGCTGCCAGGAATAACAGACATACCTTGTTTCAGAACAAAGGGCAAGTACGAGGCATTTCCTTGTCGTATCTCCAACCATTCTTTGCAATATCTTCTTGCATTCTTGCCAGCCCATCTGTTCTTTAACCCACCACCCTGACCCAGGCAGGGTGATGCTGTGGATTGGTGAGGTCATGGCCAAGCGCAGCCCCGGCCTGCCTTCAGGCCCACCTATGCTGCCTTCTAAAAGAAGTTGTGTATTCAGACAGAGATGCACGGTTACGCATAAATGAAAGGACGCCTCTGTGGAATTCCCAGCTACTTCTCCAGGGCCATTTGGCCACCCTTGGGGCTGTAAGCTCACTCAGAGTTCATGTATAAGGCCCACGTACTGTACATCATCAACCTGTGTGCTTTGCCTCTGCCCCCTTCTTGGTCTGTGAAACGCAGGTTTCGGGTGGGTGGGGCGGGGCCCACCTGTCTCTGCTGCTTCTCTGTATGAGGCTGTTTATGTGTCTGCTCCTCCTCAGAGTGGAGATCCTTGCCTGCTTCGTCCATTTTCAGGGGTCAAAGCCTCGTTTCTGTCTCCCACACTTGCTTGCTTGTCAGGGTCCCCTGAAGTACTGCCGTCAGTCCAGCTCAGGCAGCCGTCTTAGCTGGCCCTTTAGATCCAGTTCTTGGAGTTTAATGGTTGAGCCTGTTGAAAAGCAAGGGCTGTAGTGTGTTCCTGAAAGTGCTTGGCGTGAATGAACCAAAACAACAAAGGCGTTCGGAGGCCAGCAGTCCCTTCCTGAGGGCCCTTTCCGAAACCGGGAAAGACCGTGAAAGTGAGGTGAATGATAATGATATTGATTCACTCTTTCAACAACTGTTAGATGCATACTATATGCAGGGCATTTGGGCTGGGAGCCGGGGACTAGAGCTGGGAGCCAGGCAGCCGTCATCTACTGAAGTGTTAATCGTGGCATGGAGGCCAGGCTCACTGCGTTGTGTACCTTCCTTCCTTTAAACTTCACCACTCTCCTGTGAGGTAGGTATTTTCACCTTCATTTTAAAATTGAGAAACTGATCTTTCAGAAGTTTGAATGATCTGGTGAGAGAAAGATCCAGAATTCAGACCAAGTCTGCCTGACTCCACAGCCCACGAGCCTCACCCCACTGTGGGTCTGCTTGACCATCTGTGGTCTCTTCCCCCTGCCCTTCCTGTTTCACGTGGAGGTCCCCAGCCCTGGCTCCATGTTAGAGTGGCTTGGGGTAGGGGTGGGGGGCTTTTGGCAAATATCCTTGCCGAGCTTCCCTCCAAATTGAATAATACAACCTGGTGGGTGTGGGTGGGGGCTGGCTCTATGGGTGAAGCTGATTTGCAGTCAGAGCTTAGCCTCATAAATCAACATCATGTGGAAGCTGCCTCCACGAGCCTGACCACTCCCAGCATTCTCCTGGCTTCGATCACGGGGCTGATGACATTTTTGAAGGTTCATTTTTCTTCCCTTTTAAACTAAGCTGAATGCTATCACAAGGCAGCAAATAGTTAAAAAAAATATAAAATTTTCCCCAAAGAGGGATGGGATAAGAAACCCATCTCAACCAAGACTTTAGGCACTTGGAGATCTATTTTTCAGGGGAAGTGTAGTCAAGAGCAAGGGATATGGATAAAGCTGGGGTCTAGAACACGTGAGCTCTTGGCTTCCCTTTTCTTGAGAAACTCAGAGAATGTTACGGGACAGACGACCTGGGGATATGTATGTGGTCGGTCGCTCAAGAACACTTCTCTCGCCCTTGATGAGACAACCCACAAATCAACTTTATTTATTTATTTTTCTTTGGTCAAAGTCGAAGTAAAAGAAAGCTAAATCATTTGGATCTTGCTAATTTGGATGGCTTAAGGAAAAAAGAATACTGTAAAATGTAGAAGCGTAGATGCTGTGTTTCTTAGACTGCCTCAAAAGCCTGACAGTGCATAACCATTGCATGTGTGTATACTTACATGAACTTTTAAAGAATTCTGTATTTCAGACTTTCAGCACCTTGTTAAACACCTCTTACGTGGTTAGTAATGTCTTGCCATCAGAAGATGACAGTTCACTAGTTACTTACTCTTCACTAAGTAAGTTTGGTTTTGCCTTGTCCTCAACTAATGAGTTGGGATTACTCTCTAAGAGAGGCCTTCTCAAAGCTTTGGATCAAGAATTAAGAGTAAATGGTTATTTGAAGTCATCACAAAATTGTGGTCCATAAGGTCCTTATCCCTAGCAAAAGAGAGACAGACAAAGTAAGTTGGAGGTCACTTGATTGCAACAAGTTGGAGGCATTTCTGTGATGAGAAAGACCAGGGCTGCTGGGGAGGGAAGACTTTTTCAACGCATGGGTCTATGGACAGATAGAAAGTACGTGATGGTCACCCCACTGGAGTAAGTAGGTTAAGGTGAGTCTGGTCTCTGCATTTAAGAGCCAGACATCAATGGTAATTGAACGTGAAGGTTCATTGCAATCAGAGTCATTTTATGCCGAATAGAACAGGTCATTGTAAAAGAATTGACTGACAGAGAAAAGCAAAACATGAAAAATGGCCTCCTTTTCTACATTTCCACATAGGTAATCTCCGTACCGGGAGATGAACTTGAACTTGGTTGGGCGGGAGACGGACCTGGTTGGGCGGGAGACTGGAGCCCCTCAGAGAATTTGGGATTCTTCCATTTTTACTGGGAGGGTTGGCAGGTACAACATGTGTTGTGATGTGAGTCCCTGAGGGCTGTGGCTCCCTGCCTCTCCATGCGGTGGGGACCCAGTCACCCCTCCGAAGCACTCACCTGATCTCTTGTGTGTGGCTGACCCATGAGCAGTGGCTTGGAAGTGTCAAAGCATGAGCAGCATGCCTGGAACAGCATGCGCTGCCCTCATCTCCTACCTGGTTCTGCATGGGGACACTCATGGCCAGCTGCCCCAAGGCTCAGGGGCCTTTCCTTTTCCTGCAGAACTCCCTGAAGGCTTCGAACCGGAAGAAGAAGAGGACAAGCTTTAAAAGAAAAGCCAGCAAAAGAGGAACAGAAGTAAGTGTTTCCGGGTTATGGCCGAGGGAACCCGATCTCCTTCCCTGGCCTCCTCGGCCCTGCACGGTGCGGCCCGAGCTTAGTTTTGTGATGATGCTCCTTCTACTCTTCTGTCCTAAACTACTTTCTAGCCACACTGAGATCCTTTAAAAAAAACAAACCTGCCTTTATGCTTCTTCACAGTATTTGTACTTCCCTGGAACTGTTGTCCCAGGAAGGTGACAATGAAGATGACACTAGCTAACAGCTCTGAATGCTTAGAACGCAGCAAGAGTAGAATCCAAGCCAAGAACATGGCTTTGTTCTCAGGCCAAGTCACAGTTCGAGCTGTTCCTTTTCCAAGGTTCATCTGGAGGTTCTGTTAAGTGTAAGCCTTATCAGTCAAGAGGTAGGGATCTCTTTGGGGTGCCCTTGGTGGTTCCCAACTCCCTTGGCGTGAGGGCTGCCTCATAAGCCTCGTAAATATAACTCAACTCTGCTGCTTCCTTCTTCCAGCAGGAAAACAAAGGTCGTCCTTTTGTGATAAAGCCCATCTCCTCTCCTCTCATGAAACCCTTGCTTGTGTTTGTAAACCCCAAGAGTGGAGGCAACCAGGTGAGTCATTTCTCATGGGTTCAACTTAGAAGGTTCATAAGTGAGTTCCTGCCACACAGTTCCCAGCTCCGGGACCTGGGGATTCTTCTGCATTCGCGCACAGCCTACGCATCGCAGGGCTAGGGAAGACTTGGAGGTTCTAGGTCCACCCCTCTGCCTCCAGTGTACTGGAGACACTCCACCAACCCAACCGCTGACATTTTCCTCAGGGATTTCCAAGAAAAGCCATTCCAGAATCTTTTACATTTGACTCAGGGTTTCTCAACTCTTACAGCTAGGAAGCCCTTGACCAACTTACCATGATTTCTTCCTGTTGTAATTTAGACCCAACTACTTTTATCCCTCTCCTCTGAGAGACGAGGATAATGACTCATCATGAACTATCGTTGACAACCACCACTCACATAATTGAAAATATCATTTTCAAAATATCAATTTCAAACTTCTTGGGTTCTAGCCCACATGCTCTAGTTGGGTGTTTTTAGCCCCATTTGAGGATGGGCGAGCAGCCTCAGTGAGGGCGAGCTTAGTGACTTACCTAAAGTGCCACCTCCTTCCCATCAACTAATTCCCTGCCCCACTCTCTGAGGCTTCTTAGCGATTCTCTTCTGGGGCCCTGGGTTTCCCTTTGTTGTTTTCATGTGAGCTGGGATGACAGAATATTTTCTCTGGCCATCAAGTTGAGTGGCCATTGTCCGTCTTGAGACAAAAAGTTCTACACCACACAATTAATGATATGAAATCCTGGAGTCAGCTAATGATTTTGTTGTTGTTGTTGTTATGTGCTGTTGAGTCAGACCTGAGTCATAGCGACCCCTTAGGCACTACACTACCAGAGCTCCCCAGTATAATGATAAGAAGGTTATGTAGTTAGTACCCACCCTGTGGGCCAGGAGGTTCTTAATATTACAGGTAACAGACATTTCCAAGAAGGCATTGATTATAGTAAAGCTTTCCTCGTGGAAGATTAGAATTTAAGAAAATAGCATTCCTCCTCTCCTTCCTTTCTTCCAAATCCTTGATAACTTGCTGTATTTAAAATTCCATGACCAACACTGAAGAGAACAGGGAAAGATATATGTGAGCAAAAACCAAAAGCAAACCCACTGTTATCATGTCGATTCTGGTTCATGGCAACCCTCTAGGACAGAGTGGAATTGCCTCATAGTGTTTCCAAGGCGGTAAGTCTTTGCAGAGGCAGACTGCCTCATCTTACTTCCACAGAGAAGCTGGTAGGTTTGAACTGCCAACCTTTTGGTTAGCATCTGAATGCTTTAACCACTGAGCCACCAGAGCTCCTCTTCTAAGCAAGGAAATGATGTGTTTAAGCACTGCATCTTGTTGAGTTGCTGAGTACGGTCTCCACATTGTACCTATGGTGATGCAAGCAGCTGTCACAACAGGGGGCCCAGGACGGGGCTTCTCTGGGGTGAGGGTCAGTTTTCTCTGCACCATGCCCCCTTCCTTGGTGTAGTCTCCCTCATCACCCATAGCCTTGCCAGGGGTAGGAGCATGGTTGGACCCATGGAACAGAGCGTAGCTAATAGACCCCCGTGGTTTTGAGGGTCTGTAAAGATTTACAGCCTTGGAAACCCTATGTAGCAGTTCTGCTCTGTTCTGTAGCATTGCTATGAAATGAAATCGACTCAGTTGCTGTGGGAAGTCTTTACAGAAGCAGACTGCCACATCTTTCTCCTGCGGAGCCGCTCGTGGGTTTGAACTGGTGACCTTTCAGTTAGCAGCCAAGTGCTTAACCGTTATGCCACCAGGGCTCCGTGTACAATAAGAACCATACATCTTAGTCTTTGATGGCCTCCCCTACCTCTGCTTCTCTCTCCAGTCTTGAGGACCAGCTCGACACCCCGGCTGCTGTAAGTGAGGAAGGACCACTGGCTCCTGAGATGGTCTTCCCTACTTTCTTGGGGCCTGCTCTGTCCTGACCAGTTGCTGTGGCGACCTTTAGCCCTGCAGATGAGGGGAGAGTCAGTCTAACAGTGGGGAATCAGAGTGCGGATCTAGTGGTCCCCATCTGGAGAAACAGAGGAAGGGGGCTTGTTTGTCCTCAGCTCTTTTGAGTCCTGTTTCCTCTATATTCATTGCCCCTCTCACCCCCAGCTTTTTCTCTGTGACCCAAGTGAGCCACGTTTGAGACGCAAGAGAAGGTGTCGGTGAAAACAAAGTGCGGGAACCCCAGGAGGACGGAACCGAGGGATCGCACCCTTTCCCATCGGAGCTGCCCCTTCCAGAGCTCTCTGCTCAGAGCTTACGTAGTAAAGTGAACGTGTGAGAGCTGGAACCGCTGTAACATGGGGACCTGTCAGAGAAGGTGTCTTGGTTCTCTAGTGCTGCTGTCACAGAAATACCACAAATGGATGGCTTTGACAAACAGGAACCAATTCTCTAACAGTTTGTTGTTTGTTGTTATTAAGTGC